TCTCTACCCAAGTTACATATTTCCGAGGCCACTGCCCCCGTCATTTAAGGATAGGGCGGGAGGCTATTGAACTGCATGCATGGTTGTTTGTTTGTGGATTGAGGGGCCATGACACGAAACGGACACAAGAGGCGCACATTGGCAGGTTTGGAACCGGCGTTGGGAGTTGGTGAGTTCATCAGCCGCACTTCGGCCCGGCAGCTATCAGTCTGGCACGTGCTCTGAGGAAGGGAGATAATTCCGAAGACCTAGGACTCGGCAGTGTGCTTATTGCAATATGTATTGAGGATAAGACCTAGTGAAGCATAATATTTTGTTGTCGATTACATGAAGCCTATCATAATATATCGCTTCCACTACTCTCTTCGTGAATGGTCTGCCCTATCAAACCCTTGCGCGCCCTCCTCGGTTGCTTGAGAGTCCGCAATGGGCTCCATCGCTTGCCAAATAGTTCATCTGCGTCTATCTCAGCAGCATGCCGTCTCCTATCCAAACGACGCCGAGTCATGCTCGGGGTCGATTCCTCGTCATATTCTTCCATCTCGTATCCTACGTCGGGCGAGAGCGGTGGCGCGTGGACGAGTCTCTGATCTTGGTCTCTCCGCTTCCGCTGCTCGGATGCGGCGTCTACGCCCAGCAGCACAAATATGAAGCCCGACGTGCCGTGTAGCACGAAGCCGGCGCAAAACCCTATGATTGCGGCGCAAGCCAACTGTTTAGGGTCCACACGTGTTAGCGTCGTACGTACACTATTTGTTACCGGGACCAGGAGAGGAGAGCCAGGCTAAGGTGGTAAGCTCGGCGGTAGCTGATTGGGTTGTTTCGAGTGACGGCCCGAACGCAAGTAGCGCCACGAATGCTTAACCTAGGATCTGACCATATCTTATATCGATCCCAAGGAGAGGGAGGGAGGAGGAGGGATGTAGGTTGTTGGTATCTTACGTAGATGTAGAGAAACTAAGTAGACAGAATAGACGTGTCAGCTCGGTGGATCGCTGCTCGGCTAGATAGACTAACGTCGATACGGCCGGACATGGTTTATTACCAGGTACAGATCCCGGCTCACGGCTCAGCTGGGGCAACACATCCGTTCAGATGACACCTCCAGCCAGCCAGCCAGCTCTCCCCTCCGAAACTTTGAATTACGTATATGGATAGTCCCAACTTCCTCCAAGTAGACACCTAACCCAGGAATGCCATGCGCATGCATGGAGGGGGCAATGATGGGTAGTAGATATCTACTTAGGTGTGGTAGGTAAAGTAATAAGAGAAACGCAGAAAAAAAAACGCACCTTGAGTCCCGCCATGAGGTTCACGGCGAAGGAGATGACGCCGAGTCCGAAATTGAACAGGGCCCGCACCGGCGACAGCAGGAAGAGGACGGCGGCGTAGACGTGGGACAGGAGCCAGCGCAGGGGCGTCGCCAGCACGTAGAGCAGACGCGCGAGGAACCGGGCCGTCGACGCGGCGAGCGCGCCCGTCGTCGCGAGCCAGCTCATTACTTCCATGGGTTGGTATTTAGGGAACCTGTTTTGACGAGCCTCCGTGTATAGGTAGCGTATATAAGAGGTTGGGGGTAGGTAGCTTAAGTAATTGAGTACCTAAGGCAGTTTTGCCTGTCTGTACAGAACGATTGGCTTATAAACTGTTCTCCCGCTCGGTGTGCATTGCTTTTGGTTTAGTTGAATCGAGTGCTACATGCAGTAAGGTATTATAGAGGTATGTTATGAAGAGGTACCAGTACCTAGTATGGAAGTGTTAGGTAGAGATGTTGGAAGTTTCCGACGAAGATCAGCCATCGGAGGTAGGTACTTCGTAAGTAAGTACACCTAACCTACTGGCATGGAGTGTGGTATGTACCTACCTCGTTGCTGGGTTTTACGTTGGTGGATTAAATTGGGGACTTTACCTGAGTGACGCCCGTCCTGAGCGAAACCCCACCTATGCATAAAGCTGATCATAAGATAACGGAGGATTACGGTGGTCTGCCATGTCCGCGTATCCAAACGGAGTATTTCTTACTTTTGGGCGACGAGAGTTAGTAGTAAGTAACCTGAAGCAACTTCATAACACTTATCATTTTTATAGCCAACTGTTCACTCAATACATATATCGATGCAGGACTTCATCATCAATAGTCGCTGACCCCACGCATCGCATTTCCACTCAACCCAGTAGTCAACCACCCCATCCCAGTGCTTTCTAGGCGGCCCTTTCTGATACCAGTACCTGTGACAGCGATAACTCGATTCGACCTTGCTATCACCTTAGCTAACTCCTCCAAAGTATCATGAGACTCGGCAGTAATTGGTGTGGTAGACAGTCTGAAGCATGGTTGCGGATATGTGGCGAAATTGGAAGCTTCAGGGGTGGATCATCTAGAAGCGGTGCTTGGGTAGGAAATCCAGGATATTATCAGATAGGGAGCTTTCGAGTATTTATTCTCGGAGAAGATTTTTATGGCGATGATGATAGAAAGGGGAGGCCTCTCTTCTGTTGGTTGCGACCATCCAGCTTTCAGCATTTGACATGGCCACAAGGAAGCTGAGCTAGAAGGGTACATATAACGAACGACTTCCTGGGAAGTCGTTTTACCTATAATAGGCAGGCGATGGGCTTTTAGTATTTGACTTGGCCTCGAGGAAGCTGGCCCTAGAGGGTATTGTGTACCCGATCGAGGCGTATGACGGATGACTTAAGAAGTCGTTTATCTTAGACGCCTAATAAGCGAGCTTCGGGCTTCCAGCACCCGACTAAGTCGGCTAAAAGGGCTGTTTTATATTAAACCGGGGCGCATGACGGATGACTTCCTAGGAAGCTGTGTATTCTGAACGCCTGACAGACGAGCCTTGGGTTTCTAGTACCCGACTAAGTTAGCTAAGGAGGCTGTTTTATATCATATCGGGGCGCATAACGGATGACTTTCTAGGAAGTCGTGTGTTTTAAATGCTTGATAGGCGAGCTCTGGGCTTCTAGTATTTAACTTAGCCTCGAGGAAGCTGGCCTGAGGGGGGTATTATGCACTCTATCGAGGCATATAACGGATAACTTTCTAAGAAGTCGTTTATCCTGGACATCTGATAGGCGAGCTTTGGGCTTTTAGCACCCGGCCTGGCTTTGAAGAGGTGGCTAAGGAGGCTGTTTGGCATCCTATCGAAGCGTATGGGGGATGACTTCCTAGGAAGTCGTTTGTCATACGCCTTTATAGGCTGACAGCAAATATTGAGCTCAGACGATGGCCAAGGAGGTAACCAATGTAGGCACACTCGGCCGGCCATTGAGAGCATGTCCCACACAGCGTTTGCGCGAGCAATACCCATAACAGAACTGGCCGTGAGGGAAATCGGAAGGAAGCTGATAGCTCAATAGCACATGGTTGTAAGTCAGCAGAACGGTATTGTATAAGAGGTCTCTCTTCGCCCAGCTTGGTTTTCCTCGTCGTGAATAAAGCTAGTTGACATTGCTTGCGTCTATACCCTTGACTTCAAGATCACAGACATACTCCAAAACCCACTTAGCCTTCATTCCATTTCAAATCATGGATCCAGCATCCACACCTACAGCCATCAATGCATCACCGAACGATGAACTTGAGCACGGTGATGACTATACCGCCACTCTTTTCACTGGTCTTGAGAAGCTCCTTGAAGTTCCAAGAGACAGAATACACACAAGACAGCTGCGTCGTTTCTTATCGGGGACTCCATCCTCTCGTCTGCATCAGCTTCCAGACTCGCTCAAACAGCTCTCTCGTTGCTGTGAGGATATGTGTTCGAACACCGCGGAGCCAGATCCAACTACTACAACCCCTCCTTACGAGCAAGATGATGACAGTAACGACAGTGATGAGAGCCCGTCACCTGAGGAGATCCACGGCCATGATCATTTACCCGGTGTGCAAGACAACACCACGTGTGACCAGCCTGGAGGCCAGTATGGGTACGACAATGACGATGTTTCACTGCATTCTGACGACGCCGATGCACAGACTTGCATGGAGACGGCCTACGGAAAATTGAGGTATATCAATATGAACGAGTAAGATTGTATCGACCCTTCCAAACTCAAGCTACCGAGTCTCAGATGCGACCCCGAAGATGTTGCCGTGGAGGCCCCTGAAGATAGCTACCGAGTCACGTCATCCAGAGGTTCGTCTCTCGGTGAAGTTACAGAAAAGCCGTCCGGATCCAAGCCGCAGTCGCCAAAACCGGTGGGAACTCCTTTGAAAACAATCGTTTCTCGGCAAAGCCCCGCCCACTCAAAGGAAACAACGGAAGACGAATCCTCAGACGATCGGGCTACGCTGATAGTAACCTCGGACGGAATGGGTCACTGCTACGGGACTTGTGCACGCGCAGAAGACTGATCTATTAGTTGGACTCCTCGAGCACCGAAGCGAAATTGATACCGACGACAAGCTGCTTCTAGGCAGTGCCCTTGAGGATGATAAGCAGACCGTTACCTCTTGCCCAAAGCCGAGGCACGAAAGAAAGCCTAATTCGTCCGAAGGAACTGGGAATGAGAACAGTGTTTTTAAGATCGGATATAAATACCTTGAAGGTACGGCAACTGGTTTGATGCCTATTCAATCGAAGGATCTGACAACAAGAAGAGGTCGCCACCTTGAGAGCACGTAGACAAATCACGGCGGTAAATGAAGCATAGGTATGAAAATAGATCCTGTTCTCAACTAATTGATGATGGGTTACTAACACTAAGCGGACTAGGCGTGCTCGGTGTCCCTTTCTTGCATACATTTAAAAGATACTGGACGGTGACAATGAAAAAAATGCACCTCTGTTCTTAACTAATAAATTAAAAGAAAACAAATAGCTAGCTATTTGTTTACATAAATAAATAAATAAATAAAAGTATTAACTATATATAATAACATTAACTTTATATATATCATTATGTAAAAGTTAAAGTAAAATAAGAAAAAAAAGGAAAAAATTTTTTTTTTAAGAAAAAGAGGTGAAATTATTAAAAAGAGAGTTGAGTGGTCAGTATGGGGGTCGAACCCATGACCTTCGCATTACTTAGTACAATGGAATTCTGTATTAGTACGACGCTCTAACCAACTGAGCTAACCGACCCGTTGGTTGTTGAGGGTGTGACGTTAATTTGCTCTTATCAAGCTTTGCCATTCCCGAGATCGGCGCATATATGGTCACCAGTCACGCTGTTGGGATAGATGCTCGGAAACCGTTTTATTTAGCAAACCGTCTGTGTCGGTTTATGCTTGTCATTTTACATTCTTCGAGGTTCTCTTAGTCCCATGGCAAGATGGATGCGGATGGTCCATCTTTTGCACATTAAGCCTTCTTTCTGCCGACTGATGATTCTAAAGCAACAAGTTCGTCTGAAAACCATTCATGCTAATAAAGACGCGCCACTTGTCCGATAAAGTCTAGAAAATCTCGAGTTTGAATTCTGCAACAATGCCTTGTGGTGCATCAAACTCCATCAAATGGCTATCTTCGAGTAAAGCGACCTTATCGTAACGGATAATATGCGTCAGGCGATGCATCACTGCGATGACAGTGCTGTCTTTAAATTCCAAATCGATGTCATCTTGCATGATAGCCTCCGTCTCGGTGTCGACACTGTTTGGTTTCATGTCAGTAGCTGCGATTAAATGCTTGAAATGATAAACCTTACCTGCTCGTTGCTTCGCCGAGTATTAAAATCCTGCTATTCCTTACCATCGCTCTCGCAAGACAGAGCAGCTGCAGGCGTGAGCGGGTCTGGAGAGACTTCTTCGGCTCAAGACATTGATATGAATGATTATCGTCCTGTAGTTCGCACTCGACCTAAACCTTAGCGTAAACGGTACGCACGCGGCATTATTTATCAACGGAAGCAGAAGGCGAGAGATAAGATCAACGCCTCAAGGTCTCCAGCAAAGAGGAGTTCGGCTTTGACAACTTTCATCCCGGATCCTCCGAGTGTTGACCCTGCCAATACTAGCCAGCTCATGTTGCTGGCGAACAGTGCTCAAATGATGGCAATACTGCTGTGACAAGATGGGCAATGGATAGATATCGGGGAATTCCGGCGTGATGCCATCATTGAAGCTATAGCACAGGTTCGACGTAGCAATCCAGATCGAGAATGGGTTTTCTACAACAAAGATGGTCGTGACATTGCTTTAGAGGATTGCCCTACCCACGAAGATGACCTGGATACAGATTCAAGCGGTTTCCCAGCAGTGTACATCTTGTAATTATAATATATAAGAATTCACCCAGTTTGTTGGCGAATTAAATTATGGCGCGGAGACTGTGCTAATGTATTCAACAAAGATTTTTCTATATGTGTTTCCTCGATATACTTGATGTAAAAAGCACGAACTCTCTGCCTGGACAAGTCAAGGAGTATTGCACTTAATGATAGAACTGAGTTTCCCCTGAGCAAAAATGGCGTTGCGCTAAGCCCCATACGATGGGTACCTTGAAAAGCGGTAAAACCTAGTACCCCGATACTTGGTACCAGCAGCTGCCCCTCCAACCTCATGTACCTAGGTACGACTTCGGTGCGGTTAGGTAATGGAAGAAGGTACCTTGATCTAAGTAACTGCTTATCTGAGTGCCTACCTCTCTTTTATCTACTCACTTCCTGAGGCAAGCCTTCATGCGATGATCCCACCTCTCGGGCTTGCCCATCTACCTTATTCTCTGGCTACCCGACGCCTGTCCTCCGTCTCCCAACAGGCATCTCTTGACTCACTCACCTGCCTAATCTACTACTACTAAACAAGTTCGGCCATTGTGATCCAACGCTCACTCACCGCCCGACGCCCACGCCCGCCCACGTCCCAACCCACGCCTACGCCTACGCCCACGTCTTAACCCACGCCTGAACCCACGCCTGAACCCACGCCTCAGCCCACGCCATACAGCGCCTGTGCCTGTCACCTGTCCACGAGACCCTTCGGCGGATCTGCCTCGTCCACCCATCCCGACCATTCATTGCACGGCATTGCCTGGCTTTGTGGCCGAGTACACGATACCCGAGCGCAGGACACGAGCCTGACCAGTCCCGAACCCGACGTGACCTGACTGCTCCCACGCCCTCACAAACGCCCAGCGCCGCACCCCTCCATCCCTGTCTTCGTCCCCCCAACCTCCCCCCCCAAGCCCTGACCTAACACCCCCCCTTCTCTCCCCTCTCTTTCTCTCCCAACCCGTCATCCCAACCATGGGAAACAACCCATCGTCTACGGCCAAGCCCACTACCCCAACGCCCCCGGCCTCGTCCCATGCCAGTGCCGATTCTTCACGTGCCTCCAGGAGAGAGCAAGGGGACCACAGGGACCACAGAGACCACAGAGATCGTGGGGACCACAGGAACATCGTCTCGATTAACCAGATTCGATTGCCAGCCTCCCCCGAGGCCTCGGGAGTCCAGGCCCAAGGGTCCACCATTTCCAATCGGTCCTCGCAATCACGGCCCATTTCCATCCTCAGCCAAGCCTCGTCTTCACCCGTCACCGTGCTACCCGAGAGGCCTGCCGCTTACTCGCGGACCCATGAGCACAGGTCGAGACATGTTGCCGACGTCGAGCACGAGGCGCCCTCCCAGCCCGTAGCTGTTCCTCACTTCCACCCTGAAACCAACCCCTTCTCCCCCGATCTGCAGCTCGAGGACGGTCTTCCTACCGGCACCACCTCGAGCAGTGTACAAGACATGGGCTATCCTATGCCTCGCCCGCCTCGTCTACCTCTCCCCATCGAGGAGGAGATTCATACGCCTGGCTCGCCCATAGCGGCTCCAGAGGAAGACACCAACCATCAAGATGTCGACGATGCCCCCCTCGACGACCAGACCGGCATACCACGCCGTACCTCTGGGCTCAGCAATGTGACAGATGAGGACGATGCCGAGGAATTGCGTGTAGACAAGTCTCGCCCTACGCTACCAACACGTATAACATGGCTACGGGGCGGTCAGAAGGTCTACGTTACTGGAACGCCCTTCCAGTGGGGTCGGAAACAGCGGTTGCTTCCAGCGTGAGTAATACCCCTGATGTTGATAAGAGACCCATGAGGACAAGGCTGTCACGAAGGCGATGGCCCGAGCCATCTGGTGGAGCAAGGCTAGATAGAAAGTAATTGTTGAGACCATAGCTAACGTTTTCGACGCCTCCCCTCAACAGGAGAGAGGAAGGTGTTCTTGAAACTACGATCCGGGTATTCCCAGGCACGCATCATATCAAGTTCCTTGTCGACGGAACTATGCAGACGTCACCGGATCTGCCTACTACGGTAGACTTTGGTAATAACCTGGTGAACTACATCGAAGTCAGCGGAGACACTTCTACGGCTCGGGAAGTCAATCTCGAACCCGGAGTTTTGAAGGCGGAGGATGTTCAGAATCTGCCATCCAGGCAAGTCTCTGCGACCAATCTCAAAGATGGAGGGCCAGCTAAGACGCGAGATATCGTTCCGGCCGAGCTATTCTTTGGCAAGCTTCCGTCATATTTAGAGGACTTCGATCAACCCGAGGACACCAGGGAATACAGGGCATCCATGAGAGCTCTGGACAAGCTACCTGCTCCGCCAGCCTTACCTGGCTTTCTCAGCAAGCCGATCATGAATAACACCACCCTGATCAAAGACGATAATAGTGTTCTCAATATGCCCAACCACACCGTGCTGAACCACTTGGCTACGTGTAGTATCAGGCAGAAGGTACTCGCCTTGTCAGCTACAACTCGGTACAAGGATAAGGTAGGCCCCTGTCTTGTCCATGTCTTTATTTCGGGCTTTATGACTAATGTCTACGAGTACGTCACAACTATCATATATAAACCTACGAAGAGTTAGATTCCTTGCACCAACGAGATTACCCCTGTACGATAATCTCGACACTCTACAAATTGCTTCTCGCAAGAGGTCGACTTTGATTTACAACGACCAATATGACCAGTCCCTCATGTACTGTACATGCAGGAGTGTTTGCAGACAACATGTTTCCACATTTTGTCCAATCACGATTAAGGAGCATTATAATGCTGATGCGCGGTGAGAGTGGCGTGCGCTCGACAGTAGGTTGGTCAAATCTAGGATCGAGTTCGGCCGTCTTTTTTAGAGAAATCGTCGATTCTCCAGTAAATGAATGATTATAGCAATGAGAGGGCAAGGAACAAGACCGTGGATCTTAAAATATCAGAATGGTTTACTTGGATGGTGGAGATGCGATATGACAGCAACACGCCTACATGCCCTTAATTGTGAAATCCAGTTGCCAAATACGGAATGGATTAATGCCATCTTGAGAATGCGGACAATGAAAGACCACCAGTCTGGGCTGGGGTTGCCCTTCAATGTCTTTTTATATTGCTACTCTATGCCCCTCGTATAAGTCATGTTGTGATTAGTCGCTTCCTCACCAAGTTGCTGTTCGCCATCCGGCTATGCCGCTAAATATACAGCTTCCTCCATTCCTCGACCTGGCGTGTTCTGTGCTTGGCGAGGGGGAGTAGTTGTGGTATTGCGCGATTCTTATCAGCTCCAAACTGGCCACCTAATACCATAGGGAATAAATCTAGTGAGCCCCAAGTTGTCCATGCACCGGGTCGAAAGTTAGGCTCGGCCAGGGACGGATTGATACCCTAACGAGATAAGGGTTCGCTTCCCGCGGCAGACGTGGCAGGTCACAGGTGCATATCCATTCTTATTTCTTCGCTCGACGCAAGCATTGTCTATGCTAATGTGTGAGATGGCGTGTCCGCCGCCTCGGGCCTGCCGGAGGCGATGCGCCGTCCTGTCTTGACTTGCGACGTCGACGGCGCTTGTTGGCTTTCCACCATCCCACGGGATCCGATTCTCGAGCACGGCACCGAGAAAGGCTGCCAGACGCCCGGCCGGCTGTCTGAATGGCTAGTTCTTCTGGTCCCACTCATGGTCCGGCGGGTCAAAGGTTCGTAATTTCATAACGCCGGGCAGGTAGTAGTTATTGTAGACTGCGCTCGCCGTCTTAGTCTCGCCACTTGACGTAGACTTCGTCGGTCCGGAAGCGCTGGGTACACGTGCTCTCGGCGAGGGGCGTGCGGAAGCCCGTCTCGAAGGCGAGGAGGCCGGCGTGCGCTATC